TATTTCACTACTTTGTCCCTAGCGTCCTTTTCTGTTCCAGGATGGCATCCAAGATCAGGTTAGTCATCGCACCTCCTTAGGCATCCTCTGGTCTGTGACTGTTTCTCAGACTTCCCTTGTTTGTGATGACCTTGACAGCTGGGAGGAGTGCTCATCAGGTACGTATTTCGTACAATAGTCTCCCTAGAGGACAAAATCTGGGTCTGATATTTCACCCATGCATTACAGTAAGGTTACAAGTGTTATGACTAGTGTTATGATTTGGTTCTTATATGTCCCCCAAAGAACCATATATGATGGCGAACCTTTCTGAGTTTTTAATGATAACAAACAGCCCACTGCCCACTGCGGCACGAGTGCCACAGGTTCGCCACAACTGTGCCAGAGGCTTGGTTGCCAGACTAGGGCACTGCTGAGAGGTGGTGGAAACTTCAGGAAGTGGGACCTGTGGGAGACAGGCAGGTCAGTGGGGCACAAGCAAAGGGCTATCAAGAGTCCCCAGCTCCTCCACCACTGTGCTTTCCATTCATAATAAGATGGGCAGCTCTCCCCACCAGGTACTCCTGCCATGATACAGTCTATTGCCACAGGCCCCAAATGACAGGACCAGGTGACCACAGACCGAAACCAGGAGCCAAACTAAACATTTCCTCCTTACAAGTTTGTTTATCTCAAGCCTTTGTCAAGGTGACAGTCAGCTGAGTAACACAGCCACAGAAGTGGTGAGCCAAGTTCCTGACAGCCTGTTAAAGGTATCTGCTATCAAGTCCCCATCAACCAGCGATGTCAGCTTTAATAGGTAGGTGGTTTGCCAGGTTTTTCTACAACAAGCTTACCTTCCCATTTCTTCCTGTTATGGTTTGTGTCTAGCTGTCCCCGCAAAGCCTCATGCAGTCATGGGGCAGGCTTCTACAGTTTATGATAGATTCATGGTCCAATGTTAGGATTACGGGTGTGAGTACTACACCCGCCCTGAGATGGGCAGCCAACATACAATATAAGGGAGGGAAAGTCTTGCTCTCTCGCTCCTCCCATTTTTACTCATGTTGCTTTTGCTATCTTCTGCCGCCCTGAACTGTTGCCCTCTGCCATGTGCCACCCTGCCTTGGAGCCAGCCGAGTACGGACTGAAACCTCCACAAACTGTGAGCTAAATAAACCTTTCCTTCCTTAATTTTGGGAGTCTGGTGTTTTGTCTCAGGAACAAGAAAAAAGTAAGACACTTCCCATATTCCACACTTGGCAAGCAAGTCATTAAGTGCAGCCCCTCAGAGCGCGGGGAGTTATGTTCAGCCCTAAATGCAGGAATAGCCACATACATTACTTGGAATTCTTCTCTCTGGGAAATTTATCTTTTCTCTCCTCTTTTCATTTTTTTACATTAGTATGGGCTCATACTGATACTTTGGATTACAACGCAGTAAGTATTTACTTCATTGCTCCAATCGCCCTAGCTTGGCTAATCAAGCAATTTTGGATTGATTCTCTTGCCCTGACACACCCCACCACATTTTGTTTTGAACATTTTTTTCTGCTTTTCCATATTTTTATCCACAAAAATGTCTCACTTTAAAGGGGAGGAGAAATAAGCGTTAACTTATACCCCCGTAAGATTGGTGTGTTTAAGTCTTATCTGCCAGTATGTCACAACTGACCTAATTTGAGAATTGAGTCGTTGGAGAAGTTAAAATGAGGCCATGTTAGAATAAGATAGGTCGCTCACCCAATACAACCCATGTCCTTCTGGAAGGACAAGTTCAGAGACAGACAGCACAGAGGGCAAACATCATGTGAAGGTAGAGGCAGAGGTGAGGGTGGTGCTTCTACAACCCAAGAGCACCAAAGATTGCCAGCACCAGAAGACAAGGGAGAGGCAAGACCAGATTCTCCCTGGCCGTGTCAGCAGAAACCAACCCTGCTGACACACTGATCTAGACTTCTAGCCTCCAGAACTGGAGGGGGGAGTAGTGTCATAAATTCCTGCTGTTTGAGACATTTATTTGTAGGACTTTGTTACAGCAGCGCAAGGAAACTACACAAGGATTAACGTGATTGAGCAAGCTGCAATTCAGTTAAAAACAACTCACAGAGTTGGTGTTATAAAAAAAGGCAGGATAGAGGAACATCCTCACAGACACCTGAAAGGGCACAGTGCAAGACAGGGGCTGCTGGGCGTGGTGATGCACCCCTGTAATCCCAGCACTTGGGAGGCTGAGGGAGGAGGATCATTGTGAGTTCAAGACCAGCCTGGGCTACAAAGTGAGCTCACAGCCAGCTTGAACTGCATAGTGAGACCCTGTCTCAAAAACACACACAAAAAAAGAAGACGAAGAAGGAAGACAGGGACACAAGTCAACACCCTCCATATGCAGGACTCGACTAGAGGTGCACATAGTGTGGGGTCGTGTTCTCAGATGCTTTGTTTTCCCTCCAGTTTATGGCCACCTGCAGCTCACCTCGGTGCCACTGCCAAGCACACCTGCAAGTACCAGCGATAGCCGCCCATCTAGTCTAATCACCACCTTCCTACACTAAGCACCAGCTCCACGGAAGCCAAGCGCTTCCCTCCCAGGTGCCCTTCACAGCAACCCTACAAAGGCTGACAGATGATTCCCTGAATCACCGTGGACCCGGCCAGATCATGCCCACTCAGCAACTTTTGGTCCCCCCATTTAATGACTTGCTTTGTTCCACCTTAATCTTCCCAGAGTCAATCAACAAGTGGGCCAGTAGCTTAGCACTGAGCTGAACATTGTACCATCGTAAGCCATAGAAATACCATATAATCGCCCATATAATCACATAGCTTTAGTATAATAATTTCACACACCGGAGGATCCCGAAGCAAACGCTAGGCTTTTGGAGGAAAGCATGACAGTCTCCAGCACAGAGAGGCGCTCTCATAGAGCTAAGACATGGAAAAGGCGAGATGCAATCTGACCTCCCCCGTCACTCCACAGCCAGGGACTTGGACACAGGTGAAACCTAAGCACCTGCCTAAGTTAAGTGGTAGAAACCCCCTCCTCTCCCCTCCCCCTCGTCAACTGGGAGAAAAGGAACTGCAGGTGACAGACAGGATCTGAAGTACTCACTGGAAATTATTTTCACTATGGAAGCTCTGGTTCATCTACATTTCTATGCTATATTAAAAACTCAAAGGAAGTCATTAGGCTAAGGCCAGCTTACAGAGCCTCATGCCTGAGTATGCAGTCTTCCTGCAAGCCCCAGAGCTCTCCTATAATCCTTCAAATTATTAAATAATCACTGTGTTTCCCTTGGGGTCACATTTGGCAACAAAATAGTGGCCTAAATGAACCAATGATATGACTCAGTGAATAGCACTTATGTTCTTAACTTGCTAGAAGCAAAGGGATGTGAAATACTTCCCAGGGACACCCTGGAAAGGCAACTATATTCCATGAGGCTTGGAGAATCAGGGGAAAAGACTGACAAGGGAACACGAGGATCTGGGAAATAGTTCAATAATCAGTGCTGTGTCCTCTACCAACCCCATACATCAGCGATTCGCTACTCCAGTCCTAGTTCTTTTCCATCTGGGAGTGGCTACAGCCATAAGAAGAAAGCTAAGCATATGGCTCTGCCCTTCTGGACATTTCTACCATGTCGGCTGGGCTGCTCTGGAAAATCCCATTTTATCTCCTACAGCTATATGACCTCAAGTTGTCATTTCAAATAAAGTATGCTTCCAGTGATTTTTATGAACACAGACAAAAGCTGCTACAACCTTTTTTTTTTTTTTTCAAACCTTGCAAACCAACTGTAGTTGCTATGTAGGGTTATTTGTTTCTAAGGCAACAGCGTATATCTTAGTACTAATGGCCTGTCCTTTTGCCAGGCAACAAACAGCCTTGTGATGCAACTGCACCTGTCTCGGCTACGCGTTACTATGGAGATGCTCTGGTTGCTATGGCTACCATCACGCTAATCGCCTAGCAAAGGCAGACATACAGCAGTCTACTCAGAGAGCCCAGCTGTTCCTCCCCGTCTCTAGCTGAAGACTGATTGTCTAAGGTCTGTGATGGAATGCTTCTCAACTGAGAAGCACAAGAACTTCATTAATGCCGTTTCAGAGAATTGCTCTGTGCTCCTTCCTGCAGCACAAACATCAGGCTCGGGGAAAAAATCTGCAAGAAGTGGACTAGAGAACTCCTGAAATCTCTGACACCGTGCCATTCCCAATTAACATGAACCAAGGATTATGTGTCTTAACTATGTGGTTACAATAGAAACATTTCTAGGCATCTTTTAAAAATTTTTTGTTGTGTCAGGGAAGTACCCACAGTCAAGCATAATGTATAGAAAAAATCCACTTTCAAATTTGCTTCTGTGTTCTATGGCTCTTTCTTGGAATGGAACATTAATATGCTTATCTAAAAAGTGACAAGGTGTTTAATCCTCCAATTATATATTTGTAAAAACAGTACTCATGACCTCACAGTCTCAAAACAAATGACCATGTGAGGAGGGAAAAGGTCTCCATTGTTCTCTGCTGTCCTTGAAGAAGCAAACGCCAAGTAACCACAACAAAACTATCACTCAGGAGCACCGTCTACATGGAGACCAGGACCCACAACAACTCAAGGCGGCTTCTCAACATCCGTGGAGACTGGCCAGGGTATAGGAAGACGGAATCACTTGCTTGACCATTCCAGTGTGTTCTTCCCAACAAAACGTAACACACAGAGATCTGAAAGCTGTCAACTTGTCTTTGTAAATGTTTCTACCCAGGAAGACATTATTTTACCCACGATGGAGCCTTCTGGAAACACTTTTCTTCGAAGCAGCAGAAGCGGTAAGGTTTGCAGGAAATACAACAATGGATCTGCCTCCTAATAACACTTAATTTCTTTCTCATTTAGCTGCAGTTATTTTTAAAATCTCATACAGCCTTTTAAATTGGTTTCAGTGCCTGTCTCTGCTAAAATAACGCAATTTCAGTAGACCGGAAAAAAAAAAGTCAGAAAAGTCTGAATTGCTTACCTTTGATATGCCTGAGGAGTGGGAGGTGGGTGGTAAGGTGTCTTTTTCAAAGCCTGAATTAGATTTTGTCTATACTCTGGGTCTATGCACCACAATGACCCTTTCCCAATACTCTGCAAAGGAAATTAAAATATGAAAGCATTAATAGAAAAGTAGACATACAGCATTACCATCATTCTTAAAAGGTTCTCATTCATTTGTTGACTTAAACATCGTGCTGACAATAGAACACCATAAAATACTCTTCAATCTTCCTTGTATTAGGTCTGACAGACCAAATGAACATGTTCTTCTTTTAGATTATGTTGACACCATAATATAATCTTTCTCTCAAACCCATTCGAAAAAAATGAGACTCTTTTATCTTTCAGTGTCCATTTTGAAGAATACGTGTTCTCTCCTAAAAAGCTTTAATTTTTCTCAAATATTGAAGAAAAAAGTGGGCCGACATACCCACAAAACTCCATCTCTGCTCTAAAAATTAGAGTTATGTTTTTAAACAACCTTATATTGGGACCATTTTACAAAAATGGAAAATGACCCACTTGTTTTATTCCAACTTGCTCACAAAAGAGCAACATTGACGCTTGGAAAGGAATTGTGTAATTATCTTCCCCAGGAAACAAAAGATCTCAGGCAAACAACGGGAAACTTCAGCCAGGATCCAATATTTATTTTTTGGATTCCTCAGTTCACTGCAACATGCTCCTGCCTATAAGAATTGAACCTTTAGAAGTCAAACTTTAAAATGCAAATTTTCTAGAACTGGTCCATGGAGGGAAGCTTCCTCAGGGACTCACTTGCAGGCTGGATGGAGGCATGTAGTTTGATCAGCATATTCAAAAAAACCTAGCTGCCTCTGAACTCTACTGGAACTATTTGGCAACAGACTGACGGGCAGTCCCTCTCTAAATGCAGGCTTTCAAGTGACGAATGTACCCAAACTGTTTGATAAAGTCATCTGTAAATATTTACTGATTTGTAAAGAAAAGAAGTTAAATTACCCAAACCCACACCTACCCAAGCTTTCCGCCACTTTCTCACACAACTGCCACACAATAGCAAGACTAATGTTGTCTTCCGACATTTGGACAGCAAACAAGACAACCATTTCATGGCCAAAACGTGGGCGCGAGGGGGGGAGGGGGTGTCCAAGTGGACCCCATGAAAGGAACATTAAACGTAAGTTATTTCTAAAATCTTTAAAGCACTTTTAAAATTTATATATTATAGCCATCAGTTCAAGTACTGTTCTTGCAAACTTTATTTATTCGAATACATAAACATTTAAAATATTATCAATAACGTCAGCGCACAGCAGCACAGGTGGAATTAACTGTGTGGGGTGCACTGGGAATAGAGGAGTTGTACAAAGTCTCAGCGAGAGACTGGTGCAAGGGACCACGCCAGTCACCCAGCCCCAGGCACAAGCCTGACATGATACGGACCTGGATCAGGCGGACCTGTCTATGCTGCACACTGATGCTCCAAGTGTAATCTGAATGTTAAAGACATGAAAAATGCCAGCTTTAGAAAATTTAATGTTCCTCCGTGGCCTTTTTTTTTGGTACCGGGAATCGAACTCAGGACCTTGAGCTTGCCAGGCAGGTGCTGTGCTGCTGTGCTATCTCCCTGGGCCATATGTGGCCTGTCTTTCTGTACATATTTTCAAGTCTAGAATGGTTCACAGAATCTGATGAGGCCTCCCAAGTAAAAGAGGCAATCACTGCCCTGGTTCTTTCTTCTTTTCCTGTGGAAAAAGCTCTGTAGCGTACTTTCTGAAGAAAGTCAAAAAGGTAAGGAGTGAAGAAATAGTTGAGGACAGGGAAGACCAAGAATTACCAAATTTGGCTAAAGTAAAACAAACCAGCAGAGCCAGTCAGCTCCTCCATCATCTGAAGGGGGTGGCCTGAGTCTATCATCAATGGCTCCCAGGGAGCACCGAGCCAGGGGACGGGCTTTTCCCTCCCATGCACACAAGCATGGCCTAAGCCACACGGAGGGCCACGGCTGAGCTGCAAGCCTTTCTACAGTGAAATTACCTCAGTCCTGAGAAAGTAAAGGCTTTTGTTTTCATCAAGGTGACTTTTAGAGAGCGTCAATTTAATCTTACACCAAAAAGACCTAAGACAAAGCAGTGAAAAGCAACGAGCCTCACAGGTAACTAACTAGAAGCCAAGAATGTGGTTTCTCCTAACCCCAACCTAAGTATCTCATTTACTATGCTACCCCACCATTCAGAAACTACCCAGAATAAACCCGCAGATTTGTGCAGAGCAACCATGAAGTAACCAAACAAGGAAGGGTGGTGTGGAGCTACACAGCCATCGCTTGCCTACAACTCATGGTACCGCAGGGAGTCTCAGCTCCCTCCCTGGTAAGAGTCACGGATGAGGCCCAGAGATGTGACAGAATATACGTAGCAAAGTGGCCTTACCTACAGGAACCCGGTGTAAGGCAAGTGGCGTCATAAAGATCTCTTCCTTGACAAAAAAAAAAAAAACATGACTGGACAATATCTCATTAACTCCACTCTGAGGCATTTTCTTCCAACAGTGCCAGTGGCAGGGGTTTCCAGCAAGTGAGGATAAAATGGCTTTCTGCTCTCACATGCTGTTGGTCTGGGCTTAGCAAGATCTTGATGAGCTTTCCAACATTCGTTATGATCATCACTCCCTTCATCTGCCTTCTATGCATCCTGCACCGCGGGCATGGGCCACTGTGACATCTCCGTTGCTCAGGAAGGCAAAGTCACTGACTCGTAACAGCATGGCTAGTAGAAGTTTCCTTTTGCCCAGGTCTTCATATTGTGGTCATTATGAGCTGAGGTTTAATTCCAAATTTGGTCGGTATGTGTGGCCAAATGTACTCTAGCACTCCTTAACTGGAGAAATGTTCTCAAACTTCGGATCATAAGAAATGGTTCCTACCTTGACCCCTTCTGCCTTTTATAGTGAGAAGTTTGCTTTTTTTTTTTTTTTTAATAAAGCAGACTCACATTTCAGTATATCTCATACTTAGAATTTCTAGCATTCCAAAGAAAGAAAACAAACAAAATGCTTCTTAGGGACACATCCATGGGGATCCTGTCAAGGCCTCTGATCATCTTCCAGGGCCAAGAGTCAGGCTGAGCTTGGGGCACCCCACAGGCTGGTAGGGTACCTCACTGTCAAGCTTTCTCCTTGGCTTCGAGTGACAGCTCCAAATTGTACAAAGGTTTACTTGAAAACTCTAAAATGGAAATGGACAGAGGACAGGGTGCTAGGTCTCTAAGGCCAGGAAGAATGATACTGAATGCCCCTCAGAGGGAAGAGAAGGACATAATTTGATTAGAACTGTGTAATAAGTTTGAGAGGCAGAGCTTTTATAAAAATATCTGCATCTCATCTAAGACAAGAATGTGCAACCTTTCTTTTTTTTGGTTTTTTTTCTCCGGTACCGGGAACCGAACTCACGACCTTGTGCTTTCCAGGCAGGCGCTTTTGCCGCTGAGCTAAATCCCCAGCCCCAACCTTTCTTTTTTAAATGGGAAGTAACTGAAGGCCATGCACAATTAAGTGCTAAGGAATTCAAAATAATAAAGGAAAACAAAACTGCATATAGATATAGATATATAGATGCATTTTCCTTATGTATATGTATTTTATACTCCAAAGAAAAATAGGATGAGGAAAAAAATGAGTAAGATAAAGATGAGGCCAATTAAAAGATACCTAAAGAATAACAGACAGCGCTGTTAATATTTTTTTTAAAAAAATCAATACCCAAGAGTAAAAACAAAACAAGAAGAGTCTATATTGTAGACAGAAGTGATTAATGGAAAATGTTTTTTTAAAATAACAACAACAAAATTATATCTAACATCTAAAGGTAAAAACTTCCCCCCTAGGTCTCTGGAGAGATCTCAACCCAGGGACCATCTCTGCAGACTCATTTGTCTGTGTCACATGTCCCAGAACTGCACACCTGTACTATAAGCACTTATCAGTCAGTCTGATAGTGACCTTCAAGTCTGGGTCCTTTGCTAGGTTGAGAATTCCTGAGAGAAAGTTCCATCCTTTAAACATTGTTCATCAAACTGTGAGCCATGAAACATCATGAAATTAATGTGATCATCACAATCAGTACTATTTTAAGGGAACAGAGCAGAATCAAAACAGAATAGAATAGAATAGAAAGGACAGAACAAAACAGAACCCTCTATAGGATGTATTGTGAAATGTGTTATGTGTATATACAAGTAATTCTGATCACAAGGTAACAAGCACTTCTCCTGGGAAGCTGGGTTAATGTTGTCTAGGAATGGGTCCCAGCGTTCTTTTCCTCACAGCAAGCACTTCTGGAAATCAATCCCTCTGGTTGTAGGAATGGAGCACATACTCAATGTGATGCTCAGAAGTTGCGCTTGGAGAAAACAAAGAGGTAGGACCCAAATGGAGGAGGGAGCTGGGTATGTATTCTTGAATTGAAATGATACCTTTTGATGTCTCTCTTCTGCCTTTTCTGAGGATGGCTCCAACACTACCCACCTCATTCACTGGCTTGTCTATCCATTCGCTCATGCATTCATTAATTCATTCATCCATCCATCCATTCATTCATAGGGCACCATTACCTGCCAGGTACCACGGAGGACAGGAGGACAAGGTAAGAAAGAAAAACACCACAAAACAGTGACTGCCCGCCCTCATGAAGTGTGGATTCCAGAGGGGAAAGACCACAGTGAGTAGAATAGGAAATAAATAACAAAATCATAACAGACGGTACTACCTGCTGGGAAGGAAATAGAGACTGATGAGATAAAAGACAGGAAGCTGCTGCTGGGTGGACAATAAATGGGTTGGAAGAGGCAAGAGGGCCTGCAGAGATGTGTCTGGATCCGCGACAGCATCCAGGCCCAAGATGACCGTGGGGCGTTGGCTCAGGTGAGGGCAGTGGGGGTAGAGAGGGACAAGTTCAGATCATAGTGCATAACCTGGTGGGCCTGGGAACGGGTTAGAAGTAGCAAAGACAGAAAAAAGAAAACTAAAGGTTTAGTCTGAGTTTTCACTGGGTCCAAAACTGGGCGATGGGGAAAATCCATCGTTTTATTGAACATATCCTCTTTGAGACT